CTGGGCATCATGACCTGAGCTGAAGGCAGATGCTTAACGACTGAGCCACCCAGGCGCCCCCTCAGTGGTTTCTAACAAAATATTCACACAGTGTATTTTTCACCTCAAATCCTTCCAAGGGTCTTGGATAGTCATAGGTGGAGGGGTTCAGAAGATTTTTGTCATATTAATGATATTCTTTGCTGAAATCTCCTGTACTTTGGCCATGCATTTGATTCTCATTCAGGATATAATCTCATTTTGGTAAATTGGTGGGAAATATGAATTGTACTGGCCAGTTATTCAGGTATGTGTGACACTAATTTGATTTTCAGTATTACTGAAATGCAATTCTTGGCCAACCTTCTTAAACCAACTCCTGGATAACTGACTATTCTTAGGACGAACCCTTTGATTGTAGAGAACAAGCTGTGACATTCCCATGGTAGATTCTCAACAGGTATTTGTTGCATAGAAACACATTTCCAACCCCAATGGTTGAGAATAATTTTCTATTAAGAAGATCTGGTACAACGTACAAGCCTCTGACTTCATGTCAGAATTTTAATTGGATTCTGTAATGATTTGCCAACTCATTTCTCACATTGATTTATCTTTCAAGCTCCTTGGAAGAGTGAACAACCCTGCATTTCATCTTTGCATTTCATACACTTTGCACCTCTAAGGCTATGCTATGACATAAATTTATAATTGTATGCTTATCTTGCATTACATGAATTTTAAACATAATTCTAAAGTTTCTATCTTGGATTATTCTGTATCCATTCTTCCCACAAATATTCCATACACTTATATTATGCTTGATTAAGAGGAAATGAAGAGGTTAATATTTGAGATCTCATCTAGGCAAATTGACTCAGATTCTATGATGAGGAAAATGTAAAGCATACTTGATAGGCAAACAATGCCACCTAAACACTTTCAATTGACTTTTACTAAGAAGCAAGTTTCTTACTCTTTTTCAAATTTTTTCCTCTTCTTTCTTATGTCATCCACCATGCCACTCACTGAAGGTAATTTGTTCAATCCTAGGAAAGAAAGATGAGGTTCCACAAGAAATGAAGACCCTGAGAATCAGTGTGGTAGAGAACATCATGAGTGAGGTAGCACAAGAGTGGGGGAGATGGACCCAGGAGTTACTGTGGAATGCCCTCCATTCCTTGTTTAATCAGGCGCTCATGCCTTACAGACTTATGAGTTTGCATCTTGACTAACAGACCTCAAAGCTCACAAAGAAGGATGGACTGAAGGGAGTCGCACCCAACTGACAAGACACAAAGTAGTGTGTGTGTCGTCCCATTACCAGAGTATTCACTCTGGCTGTCTTTTAAATAGTGAGTTACACTTGTTCATTTATGTTATGAATTCTTTGCCAACAAGTTGTCACTTGATGATAGCTTAAAGTAGTGGTTTTTAAATCTTCATTTTCATACAGGAATCCTACAGGTTAAATAATGATCAAACCCTAAAGTAACAAATCTCAAGTGGCACAATTTCAGATACTGTAAAGGTTAACTTCAGATATGTTTTGCAGCAGAAGAGCTTTGCAATGCTTCTGAAATCACACTATCTGGATTGCCATCTTTTCTAAATATGCATAAGGTCAGCACATACCCTTAAATACACGAACGGCCCATCAGCTCTGGAGCTCCGATGTGGGAATGGTGGCTCCCACAGGCTGGAGGATGCCAATGAAAGCCAGGGTTGGTTTCTCTAGTTGAGGAGGGAAGACATATTTAAACATGGAGCGCTGGCTGTCCAGTACTGTTGAATTATTTTCCAAAAAGGGGAAAGAGAAAGTATATCCTGTGCCGTCTTCAAAGATGGCGGATGTCTCCATAAATCCTTTAACATTTGGTTTTATCATAACTCTACCAGATATTATGTGATTGGGTAGATCATCACTGAAAGTAGGTTGATGGCTCAGGAATCTGAAGAATAAAAATTGAAATCCAGGAAAATTAATATGTATTTTTGGAAAGGAGTTGAACTCAGAAAATACTTCAAATAGTTTTTAGTTGAGCTAAGAAAAAAAAGACTTAGATTTTTGTTTTGTAAATATTTCCTTTACTCAATACTTTTTCTGAATTTTTACTGAATAGACATTCTGTATTATTAGAATGCCAATAACATTTATCTAATGCTTATTATAAGCAAAGAGAAGATTTTGAAATGTGGTATATAAGTTTATACCAGTGATAGTATTGATATCTAACTTCTTTAAAACATTTTTTGAGGGGAGAGATTTTATTTATTTATTTATTTATTATATTTATTTATTTATTTTTAAATATTTATTTATTTATTTGACAGAGAGAGACACAGCAAGAGAGGGAACACAAGCAGGGGGAGGAGGAGAGGGAGAAGCAGGTTTCCCTCAGGGCAGGGACCCTGATGTGGGGCTCCATCCCAGGACCCTGGGACCATGACCTGAGCCGAAGGCAGATGCTTAATGACTGAGCCACCCAGGCGCCCCTGTGGGGAGAGATTTTTAAAAGCAATTAGTGGAGGTGTTCATACTAGAACAGCAAAATCAGATCATATTTGGATTTCCATTTATTTTGAGAACCTACATACCATTTTTATAAATTTTACCAACATTCTTTAATACTGCTAGTGGTCTCCCTGCTTCCACCCCTGACTTCCTACAATTTCTCCTCCACTCAGGAGCAAGAGTAACCCTTTTAAAATGTAGAATTATATCCTGATGGGTTTCTATTTCACTAAAAATGAAATCCAAAGCTCTGTCCATGCTATAGCCCTAAAAATCCCTCTGGGGGTGCCTGGGTGGCTCGGTTGAGTGTCTGACTCTTGATTTCCACTCAGGTCATGGTCTCATGGTGGTGACATCTGGCCCCACCTTGGGCTCTGCCCTCAGTGGGGAGTCTGCTTCGAATTCTCTCTCTCCCTCTGCTCCCCCACGCCCACCCCAGGCTCGTGCTCTGTCTCTCAAATAAATAAATAAATCTTAAACAAAATAAAAAATAAAAATCCCTCTGTGACCTGGCCCCTGCCTATGCCTCTGAACTTATTTCCTACCACTTCACCTCTCCCAGTAGTCTCGCTACACTGGGTTCCTTGCTCTTCCTTGAATAAATCCTGTTCATTCCGGCCTTTGAAGTTGGTGCTGCTTCTGCCTAGAATGTGATTCTCATCTTAGATATTCTTTCAGGACTCGCCTCCTCACTTCCTTAGGTCCCCATTCAAATGCTTTCTCATCATATAAGCATTCCAGAGCCACCCCATCTAAAAAAGATTCTTCTCCCCAACTCTGCTTACTGTTTCTTCATAGCACGTATTACTCCATGTCATTGCATTATGTTTTGACTAGTTGGTTTCTCCCCTACTAGAAAGAGGCTCAGCAAGAGCTAGGACTCTACCTGGCCTTGCCCTTCTTCTACTCCCAGTACCCAGAAACCTACTTGATCATAGTAGGAACTCAGAAATATTTATTAAATTTATGTAGGCTGTACACATAGTCAATTTTTTTTTAAAGATTTTATTTACTTATTTGAGAGAGAGAGAATGAGAGAGAGCACATGAGAGTGGGGAGGGTCAGAGGGAGAAGCAG